AGGGTTAGGGTAAGGGTTAGATTAAGGATTAGGCTTAGAGATAGGGATTGGGTTATATCTGACGCCACAAACAACACAACTAGCCGATCACGTGATCAGTTCTCCTCTACCCGAGGAACTAGCCGTAATTTCTAACCTCGCACGAACCTTAAGATCGTCGAGTCATTACAAAACTATACGACACCCATTAAGACCGATTACTTTATATCATACACCAAACAAAAGACACACTATATACTATATCTATAAATTGCGGGAACCACTGAGTATTTTAATTAAATACAATACAATAGTAATTCCGAAAACCGTAATAGATATAATTACAGTTTGAACAGCGCGGTCAGTCTTTCCGATGTCTTGCTTTGCAGACGACAGAACTTCGGTATTTTGTTGGTGTGGGATCTTTTAAAGAGACGAATGAGTCAATGATTTTCCAGTTGATAATTAAAATACATGGGGATTATAGTAGATGAGTTACGTTGTGGGGGAATCCTTAAACATGAACTCCAACAAATTCAGGACTTCCTTAAACACGAGCTCCAACAAGTTCAGAAATGTATGTCATGGAATGGATTCTCCCGTAAAATTACCAAGAAACTCGTCACTTTGTTCTTGCCTTCAACAATATCATCTTTACCTGATCAAATTACGTGTGATATCTCTAATAACGCACCTTCCAAAACAATTAAAATCTGCATAAAACTCCCATTCCTTAGCAAATATGGAACTAAACTAACCTGGTCATTCTAAAATCTTCACGTATATTCATTATATCAACTGGAAAACTATTGACTCTTCGTCTCTTTAAAACATCCCATGCACCAACAAAATCTGTCGTCTAACGAGTTTACGTGTCCAGAGTATACAAAGCAAGTTATATCGGAAAGACTGACCGCGCTGTTTACAGTAGGATAGACGAACACTCGACGAACGACAGTTCGGAAGTTTATGACCACATCTCATCATGTGAACAATTTAATCATATTAAAACTACAATGGAACTAACACCGCACCAAGAACTCTAATATAGCTTGTATATTATCTGATTTTCTTTCTAATAACTGTAAAATAATCGATAGAGCCGACCATTGGTCTTTATTACTATTCAAAGAATCGCTTGCGATACGCAGACTGAAACCTAACCTCAATCACGGAACTAAAGCTTCTAAAGAACTATAATATTTAACCAATGACCTTATATAGTATATTTCTCATATTTATTCACTGTATATATATACTTATGATATGTAATAATTTCATTATTTCTGATGATGACTAAAATCTAGTCGAAACGTCAAATAAACACTGTTCAAAATGTTTAGCGTTTTCCGGTTACTATTGTATTGTATTCATACTATATCTATATTTTTTGCAAATGTAGATCAAGCCATTCCAGAAAGCAACCATGGAGATTGAACGAGTGGTGCGACTAAGACAAGACCTCGAAAGGGTAAGTGAATTATAGTACTTTCAGTCGAACTTAATTAAGTTTTTGAATGTTGACAGTGAACATGCATGCATGCATGTGCTCATATTTCCTGGCCGTAAAAATTATGATCAAGAAAATTACCCTAAAACGGAAAGCTTCGGATTGATAGGGATGCAACTACCTGAAAATACAAGGAGAACTTCGAAAAATACAAGCACTACTTCAATAGGAGAACTGTGAAAAATACAAGGAGAACTCTTTGTGTTTTCAGCTACTAGTTGCATCCCTATCAATCCGAAGCGTTCTTATTATTGGCACTACCTTCATGTCCATACCGTTGAAGATTATGCCTAAAAAAGAGTCTAGAGGTGAGCCGATGTCTAAAAAAAGCCGATTACCGATACCGATTGTTAACAGCCGATATTTACCCACCATCGGCCGATTAATCGGTAAAACCGATGGTCATCTTAATTTTTTTTTACTAATGCATCCTCTCGTCAAAACATGCAAAAACAGGAAGCGACATTTATAACACTGATTCTGAAATCCACAGCGTGCTACTGACTGGTCAACGGAAGTTACGGAACACGATAACTTAATTAATAAATCTTGCAGAAATGCCAGAAAAGTGAGAAAACAACTATGAAAAAACATAGTGTTTCCACTTTCGTTTCGATAATTGTTTCCACACCAAATATTTGATTTTCATTTTTTTATTACACCGCTGACCATACAATTGGTGGAAGACAATCGGCCATCGTCGGCCGATTGTGAAAAAACAAGCCGATTAATCGGTTTTGCCGATGATCGGCTCAGCTCTAGATTATACCTAAAAAAGAGTGTGTATATTTGTTAACATATTTCTAAAATTCTTCAGAACATACTCAATACGCGTACTGCTTCGAATTCAAAATGCCCAAAAAGTTCGTGATTTAAAAATTTTCTACATAGTTAGCTACATGCAACCCTTTGGGATTTAATCGTTTTACTGTGCTTATTTTAGATCCGTAATTTGTGTTATATGGTCGAAAAACGCGAAAAATATAAGAGAGAACTGACAGCAGCACGTGAAGCTGTGTTTCGCAAAGAACTTGAAGTCGTTGATGACACATCAGGTAAGATGTCCACGGAAGATATCCAATGGGCACGCTCTTGTTGTGTGAAAAATTTTACCGAATACGAGGAATTACAGACACTCGACTTGCGATGTCCAGCAAAGCCGAAGGTTTATAAGAAACGTGGCAGGAAACCTAAACGACGATCGATGAAGACGATTAATGGATTTGTTCAAACTGGAGTCATGAGTCAGTCTGATGGAATCACGAGTGAATATAGCGGGGAGTGCGAGGAAAGCGATTCTACACATCGAAATAAAGATTCTACATTTTGTTCCGGTGATAGTATCAATGATCATTTGGATAATGAAGGTACGACGTCTCGCGCAGATGTTACTAGCAACTGTACTTCGTCATGTGACAATACAGCGAGCAATATCGATGAAAAGACGCTTACGTTACGTAGTAACTCTTCCGCACGTTCTGGGTGCTCAAACAACGAAAATATTTCGTCAGATTCTGATTTCGAGGACGAGTCGGCCAGGAAAGCAAAACGTCGAGCTTCTATAAGTCAGTTACGAATGCGTAAATTATCAAAGTCGGATACAGAGATGGTTGGAGTTTCTCGATCTAGTGACGCCGAGTCTACTGGTAGCTCATCAATACACACTCGAGGCAGCTCACCTGTGCAATTGAAAGCCAGGTTAAATGGTTTAAATGTGAGTGCTCGTGTCAATTTACTGGAAATTAAGGACGGTATGAAGAATCGTCTTTGTCATAGTCCGAACAAACGAAATAGAAAAAGATTGTTTTGTGAACTGTCTGAAAAACACGATGAATCTCAATCACCGATGACACTACGATCAAATGGCACGATTCTAGGCGAGCAATTGACGTGTAACGCTGTTTCTGAAAAGAGAGTTTGTCGTCCAAATGGGATTTTAGACTCAAAAAGCAATGAGAAAACTACGAGGAAGTCAAATTCTTTAAACAATGATGATAGTCAATCAGAAGAAAGCGGCAAGTCGGAAGTTCATTTTACAAGGTCACGAAGCCGTACATCTGCTCTAGATTCACCCAAGTCTTCGTCTGGACAAAATGATGTTCTACATACTGTCGATAAACAGTCGGAGAAGAACGGAAATATACCGGAATTGTTCCAGACGAGATCGCACAACAGTCGTGCTGTTTCGATATCAACGTCTTCTACGATTGATGGCGTTTTGTGTATCGGGAAGAGCGATGAAATTTCCAGAAAGGATGCGTCACAACTAGCACACCATAGCCTTTCCAACCATGATGAAGTTTCGGATATCTCGTCTCGAACTAGGTCGCGTAGTAACACGTCGGACTCCGCTTCATCCCCAGTAAAGAAAGATACAGATGTGTCCCACATTTTGTCAACAGGCCAAAACACCGAAACAAATTGTAAGCGAGACAGTGCAAAGAAAGAAGTAATTGCTGAAAGGTGTAGAACACCCCGACGTCAGGCAAGATTATCAGATAATGTAGTAGCTTCAAAAGCGACGTTGTACAGTCCGACCAAATGCTCGAGGTTTTTTGGTAAGCTGCGGCAAGCAGCAACAACTAGTGCATAAGAAAACCTTAGTCGTATTGAGTTTAGCTGAATTGTTGATATTAAAATTTGTGTTTTTTTAAATTAAAAGTTATTGTTTAAAAATTTAGCGCCAAGGATAACACGGAAAATAATTTTCTGACGAGAGAGAAAGGGGTTGGGGAGGAGGGCGTCGTAGATTTTTGTATCTCATTCAAAAAGCATTGGCATCCTCGGTCCCAGGGCCTCACGGCTGACACAGCATTGCCGAAGGCCCTGGCGAAAACCAAAACCGGAACTTCAAAAATCTTGTAGTTTGCCGGAAGTAAATATAATAAAAATGCTGACTCTGCATCTTTTTTTGCAAGGAGTGAACTTTAAGAATTTCTTGAAACAAATAATCAATGTTTTACATTAGTTTGTTCTGGTTATTTCACCATTAAATGTTTTAATGATTGACCAAATCAGTAAACTAAAGGTCATGTAGATGTTTCAATTTATATGAAAGCTGTTCAAGTTGATAAATCGAACTATCGAGTCATAATTGTATACGGACAGCAATCAGTAAAATAATATTTGCGCGTGCAGAAGTTTTATTGGAGGACTTGAAAATTTTTGAATATTTATTAAAATCGAAGAAATATACAGACAATTTAAATGGAGGAAGCCCATCTTTTTACTGAATGGTGAGTGGGATATATTTGGTTGTTTCTCCATATTCTTTCCTTCATTAAAAATGCTATGGTTATCTGCAAGACTGTACACATACAGACAACATATATTCTGTTTTACGTCCGGTCTAAACGCTGCATTTTACATGTGCCAAGTCTAAAAAAGTTTGTTCAACCTTTTAAGTGCTACCAAATTATTTTACTCAGCTTAATATGCCAGATGATTGATTATACTGGTCAATGTGAGGGTGCTATACTAACTCAACTATCTAAAATGTACTTTACCATCTTACTCTGTCTAATGCCAGACAATTTTGCTCATCAAGGGCAGAGTTCTGGTTCTCGATATGGGTTAAGACTGTCAAGTGCGACATCAGTCGAATATTTAACAAGAAGGTCTCATTTAATGTGTGTCAAATTAATGATTAGTATAATTGCAAAGTAATTACTTTGGACATGTAAATATGTTCACTACCTACATAAATTCAACATTTAAATCAAAATGTCAAACTATATTATTTGAGTCAAACCATGTAAATTCACATTAGATTTGGCACATGTAAAATGCGACATTTAGACCGAGACAATGAGCATGAAAACCTGAAATATTTATATTATGTGCATTCCGACACCCCCCCCCCCTTAAATCTTAGTATCCCCATATAACAATCGTTTGTAGGATATACAACTACCTGCAAGGTATTATATGTGACTGCATACTGTAAGCTAGTGTTATATGTACAGTATAGTACAGCAAACGATATGACTTGAAATATATATTTTCTTGCCAGCCATTTTCAATCATAAAATTATCCATGTTGCTGTTAAGGTGGCTCGATATAGTTATCACAAAAACCCTGCTCAAGAATCGCGAACTCCAAAGCGGATGGCCATTTTTACGCGCAGGTCGCGGAGACTGATCAACAAAATGAAAGAACTTCCAAAATGACCTGACGTGAGCAGTTGCGCCATATCACGCCATTGCGTGTGTTCTATAGCGTTTTATGCAGTGAACTCTTGGTTTTATGTCAACTGCTGACGTCATTAGAATTTTCCATTTTAGAAAAACAATGCGCTATATCTCTCTATTTTGCCTGGTGACCTATGTTCAAATTTTGCATGCTGTATTGCACCGCTAAAAACTTTCATTATACAAAAAATAAAAAATTCTGTAATGCCAAAAAAAAATTACCGAAGAATATGACATTTTCGCATTTTCCAAAAAAATAGTATTACAGAATTTTTTTATATTTTGCTAATTGTTAGCTTTTCGTCCAAGTAAAATAATGCACGAAAAAACAATTGGGGGTCACCATGCTTTTCCAGCTATACGAGACGATTGGCCATTTTGGAGTGAATTTCGTACACGTATGTCGTCATAGCAACAAACTCTCTGTTAGTAAAACTACTCTCACACATGAAAATGTTCAATGCTCGCACATGAAAATGTTGAATTTTTTGGCTCTGAAATGGTGCAGAATTTATTGTCTGTAACAGTGGTCATTATTCCCAGTACATGGCACTTCCCTGATTTGGGAGGGGCTAGAATTTCCATATAGGCTACAGCCCCCAACGAACTGGCAACCACCCCGCCTGCCTTTCGGCCTTGCCCAATTTCCCTTCAAAAATTATAAATTTGGTGCTGTTGACATGAAGTGGAAGAGAACGGGAAGATTCTGCTACGCAGGCTATTTCAAAACTTTCCCCTGTGCCTATGGTGACTAATTAAACCTTGAAATCTAGCACTATAAAAATAATGTCAACTGCATGTAAGAGATTCAGAAGTTAGTTTCCCAGATGTTGACACATTACTTAATACTGAATGTATGTATACAGCACAAAATTGAAAAAGTTGTTAGGAGGTTCATCACTGTAGGCCTTTGAATGGAAGCTGGATAACTGTGTAGCAAAGCTACAGTAACAATATAATTTGTCAACTGTAAAATAACATTGATAGCCTATAAATTAAGTTATATATTGCATGAAATTTAAGGGGAAAAAAGTTGAGGAACTAACATTTCCAGCTAAGCTATTGTATCTGCAAAATTAAACTATTTATAATTATATTAATCACTTTGTCATTATTAAATACAATATGTCATTATTAAATACATTTAATATAAAATATAATCTTTACATATAAATTAAGAGCCTTCGATGAAATTGATATAAAATCAATAAAGTGTGTCAATTTATATTTTATAATATACTATATTTAATATAATATTGATAGACAACAGATTTCAACGACCAAAACGACTCTTCGTCTTCTTTGAAGAGTTAATACACTCCTATGTACTCCTATAGTCAGCCATATTTATTAGTACAAGTTCGTGTTCAATTTCCGCATTCCATTGTTTTCATGCGACCAATCAAATCACTTCTCATTTTGGTTTTCGCCAGGGCTTTCGGCAACGCAGTGTCAGCCGTGAGGCCCTGGAACCGAGGATGAAAGCATTGGATAAATTCTGGTTCGTTGTATCTAGCACCTTGCGCCGTGTCTTGTGTAACTTTTATTTCAGTTAAATTACCCGACACCATTGTTTCATTTATATATATTATACATTATTTAATTAAACATACTCGTTTATATTAATTTAGTATTGTTCGATGCTGAATATATCTATCTATCTATCTATCTATCTATCTATATATATATATATAATAATAATAATAATAATATTTCAATTATATAGTGTAAAAAGAGTGCTCAACATCAAGAATTTAACAGAGCAAATAGTATTTTAACTTAAAATTGAGTCACAACTCTGAGTTTCACGCTGAATGCGATCATCAGGTGACGGTGTTACAAGTGACGGTTCAATCTTCCGTATGACACAGATGAGGTAGATACAGATGTGAATCTCACGGCAAATTATGTCACACCGATTAAATAAACTTTAAAATTGTATTAATTCACTATTTTATTAAATTTTGATAATGCAGAGAAATAAAACTATACATATTATAGAAGTATTCATGTTTTTTCTATGCCAGAGTTATGTTTTGAGGAATTTATATCATTCGCTGTTTTGTTATTATACATGAGCATCTGAAATTCCCAGCAAGTGTATTTCACGATTTTAATAAGGAATAGATAGGGAAAAAAACAAACTTTTGCTAAATAAAATGTTATGTTAACACTTTTAATAAAAAGAAATCAATAAAAGTGATCGCTTACCGATACTCTTGAAGAATTAATTCCAAAAATAGCCGCCGGTAGCGTAGATTTTTTAAAAAAACAATTTTTCGTCTTTCGAACGGCGTTTTCCTATCTCTTTCCTTATTAAATTTCAGAACGACACTTGCCAGCGCTCGCCGGAAGTGAGAATTCCGTGTGACACAAAACAATCAGCAATTTGACGGAAGATTCACATCTGTATCTACCTCATCTGTGCGTATGATGACGTTGGATTATATGCGTGATGGCGCAGCGCGCGCACGTTCAAATTTCCCCGCGAGGAATCGCTTCCGGTGGCGGCACTTCGAGAAAAGTTCACACCTTTTGTTCAACAGTTTTGTCTTGTCACCTTTTAGGATATGTAATTTTTCCTGGAGACAAAGATCACAGTTTTTTGCGCCGCTGCGATAGGAAGGTGTTTGTTTTAGTATTGTCCATTTAATTCTGAATCTGCGTTTCTCTTTCTTTAATTGCCAAATGTATTTGGATAGCTCGGTGGAATTACGTTTGTCTGGGTTTTCAAACGTGGTTTTGTGATTGGCAAAGCGCTTCTTGAAGGTTGTCGAAGTCATGCCAATATATTCTTTGGTACTCTTCTTATCAACCTCGACTTCTGCTTTATATACGACGCTTTCTATCAGGCAATTCTTTTGGAGTGGACAATTGTCGGTGTTTCTGCAGTTACAGTTATCATTGCCGTTCGCTGTTGGTGCTGTAGCTGTCTTACTTTTGGACAGGATACCGATGTTATGTTTGGATATGACGCTTTTACAATTGTTCATACAGCTGTAGCTAACCTTCACCGAGTTCCTGTTAAAAATTTTGTGTAATGGATTTGATGGCGGAAAATGCTTGTCGACCAAACTTAAGAAATTTCTACCCACGTTGGTTCTTACGTTCGTACTATAAGGTGGATTAAACCAAATGATGTTACGTGATCGTGTCCTGGTCTTATTCGAATTTTGGGGGGAATATTTCAAATCCGCTTGGTAATTGCTACGGTGGAGGGCAGCTTCGTACAAAGGAGCGGTTTTTGAAAACGTTTCTTGGTTGGACGATAACTGTGAAATCCGCATGTTGACTGAAGTTGGAAGTTGCTTCGTGATTGCAGGAGGATGATTTGACCGGCTGTCAATGAAAAGTGGGTCGTTATTGGGTTTTGCGATAGGGTTGATAGCTTTCATCGCGTGGGTTAAAAGTGACATCAAGGAAGTTGACGGATTGTTGAGTGATCCCTGCAGTGATTTTCAAATGGAATTTTTCAAACAGTTCGTGAAGATTTTTTCTTGCTTTGTCAGCAAGTCGAGCGGACGTCCCATTTAAGAGAATATGTCCGACCTTTCGATAAAGGCCAACGCGTTCTTTACCATATTTCTTTGCCAGAAAGTTGAGTATAAATAGACCTATGAATTCACAAACTTCTGCCCCGTCGTAACTCCCCATGGTGACGTCGAACAAGGGGTTGTCCTGTTGTTTGATCCAGGTTTTACCGTTACTGAAGAGTTTTACCGTTACTAAAGTAAGGAAGGAATGACGAGGTTTATTTTTGATGTTATTGAACCAGTCAATGACAGGTAAGGAGTTTTCCCATTGGTTTACTTCGGTTCTTTTTCTGATTTGTGAGTTAATATTGTCAAGGGTTATTTTGCTAATTTTACCAAGCTATATGGCTTTTAGCCGGATTTATGAGACGGAATTAAGGGTTTGTTTTGAAATTTTCTTTGTGATCTTTTATTGCTACGAACGCGTTTTTTGGTGCCATTGTCTCGATTCTATCGCTAATTGAAAGGTCATTTGCAATTTTACTGAGGTCAGAGTCAATATCTTCGAGCACGTCGTTCTCGGAAATTTTATATGATTTTGTAACATTTTCCTTTAAAAACTGTGATCTCTGTCTCCAGGAAAAATTACATATCCTACAAGGTGACAAGACAAAACTGTTGAACAAGAGGTGTGAACTTTTCTTGAAGTGCCGCTATCGGAAGCGATTCCCCGCGGGAAAGTTTGAACGTGCGCGCGCTGTGCCATCACGCGTATAATCCAACGTCATCATACGGAAAATTCAACCGTCACTTTAACACCGTCACCTGATGATCGCACTCAGCGTGAAACTCAGAGTTGCGACTCAATTTTAAGTTAAAATAATATATATTATATATATATATATATATATATATATATATATATATATATATATATATATATATATATATATATATATATATATATATATATATAAATTAAGGTACAACAAATCAACAAAATCCACTAGGCATCTTTATCACTAAATAGTTTCGTACCACAGTATGTGGCACTCTTCAGATAAATTGACCTAATGACTATAGACTAAAACTTACAAGGTTATATGTACAAGTGGATGAGACATGAAACTTAATCCTATTTACAAAGCACGCGATTTAATAAACATGTTATATGATAAGCTGACAGGACGCGGAAAGATTAACACCCCGCGGTATATTTAAATGTCTAGCTTTTAAATGTTACTTAAAAGGAATTTTTTATTATGCCTACATGCTGATACTAACTCATTACGTTTGTTTAAAGTTGCCATTTTGGGCTTAGAAGATTAAGTCTAAAGATTTGTAATCC